ATATATATATATAAAATTTCTTTTATAGAAAAAGAAAACGAAATTTTAAATCGATGTAATATTAGGGAACGTATCTAGGGAACGAATAAAGATCAGATTGCATTTCACGGTTCGCTATTGCATTGTTTCTGATAAGCTATTTTTCAAGTGTTCTTTTCTGGATAAAAGATATTTTGCAGACATTCTCCGATAGCGAGAATCGAAAATGCGATTGAATGAGATTGAATGAGAACCACTATGCAGATCAAATTAAACGGATGAAATTATGTTTCCTTTACAAGTTTAACAAGTTTAATGTCATATTCAATATATATATATAAACGTGATATTTTACGATTTTATTTTAAACCTTTGATAACAGCACTAACAAAATTATTACAGCAAAAAATATGATAGAAACGTTATTTTATATTCATAATATTTAACTCGTTAAATCCATAAATGCAGTTGCACGAGACAACGTCGTATAATAATCCCTATAGATGTAGTTGCATGAGCAGACAATGTCGCGGACAATATCGCATGCATCTCGCACAGATACGTAAATTAATGGGTTATCGGTGTATCTGACGATAACGATACGACGCACTTACAATTAGTCAAGTTTCACCGCTGAAAGCAATAGACGCATAGCATCTCGTTAACTTCTTAACATGTAACTTGATATATCCTCAAAGTACATGCAAATGTCCTTTGTTCCTCGAGGGAAGAGAATTGAATTACCGTGTAGCGATAGCTTACATTCATTATCATTGGCCTAAATGCGCACAATATAAGCTATTAGCATATTGCGAACTCCCCGGGACGGATGACACATTCGTCATATCACATTCGCCTTGTGAATTAACCACGTTAGTTGCACGTTAAATGCGCGCATCTGTATAAAACGTACGAAATAAATAAATATTATATGTATATTATATATAAGAGAGAGATGGAAGAACTTGTGCGTGAAATTAAAAAAAAAATTGTTTTTTCTATCATTATGAATTAATCAATCACGAAGTGATTCTGGTAACGTAAGTAACGACAGTTTGATAAAAGCGCTAGCTCTCTGACGATCAATTACGATGTGGAAATCGGCTGACAGCTCATTTCCAGGAAGATTCTCCGAGAGGCACGTTTAAGGACGTCTCTGCTCCACTTACGTGACTGCCTCGCAGATGCAGACGCATAGAGGATTTGCGCAAGTGTCCATCGCTCCTGTCTATTACGCCTAACGTCGCTTATTCACGGACGCAGTTACGGCATTTTATCGGAGTGATACTAATAAACTCCGTGACGCAGACTCACGCAAAAATCGCTTCGAGAAGCGATTCCCTTATCCCGTTCGTATGACTTGACAGGACATCTTTTCAAGATATAGCGAAATGTCCTTTCGATATATACAATTATTTTGATTTATTACTAGGTATTTCCAATGTTTTTATTTCCATGGAATCATTTTCGGAACATAAAAAAAAAGACATGTATAAGAGAACATAAAAGATATACAAGCATAAAAAATTAAAGATCTACATGTATATAAAAGAAAGGTTTTGGGAAAAAAGGAAAAATTCCGCTGCTCTTAATTCGTTCATAAATAAGATTTGACAGCACATCGTTAATCATATCGCTAAACGATTTTTGACATGTAAAACTTTTCTGATATCGGAAAGAAGCCGTAATTAGGTAAATATGCTATGAGGGGAGGGTACCGTATAGAAAAAAAAAAAAAAAAAAAAGGTCTATGTACACGGTGTCTCGAATTCATTACAGAAATTATTAAAGCGTGCTCCATTATCGTAGCCGCTGCTCGCGCGCTGCCGTGGACTAATTATCATCGAGCAATTAACAACCGTTGATTGCCATTACCGGCGTGGGTGCGCGAGCGCATGCGCGAGCATCGAGCCGATCCTACCTTCTACCTGAAATAATTTTGCTCTCTACCGGTGGTACACGAGCGATGTGCGTGTCGCGTGTTCGTGTGTGTGTGTGTGTGTGTGTGTGTGTGTGTGTGTGTGTGTGTGTTTGCGATGGTCTAGAGAGGTATGTATTAGAGAGGAAGAGGCGAGGAGATGATGCCGCTTTAGAGAGATTACGTTTCCTCCAC